ACCAGCGCCTGCGAGGCTGCGGCTGCCGGTCTGAGCCGCGAGCAGGTGTGCCAGGGGCAGCCGGTGCTGGGATGATATTGCCGCTCCACCCGGTCTGCAGTCACCCGAGCTTGGCTCCCTACAATCCGGTTTAGCAGCTACTTAATTCTGCCTTCGGGAAGCCCTGCCAGTTGCCATTGTGGAGTGCTTCGTAACCACGATGGCTGTTGGTCAGAGCCCACCAGCTGCTGTCCAGTGGGACACGAACACCTGGTATGGTTGAGGTGACATGGGACAGGCCTGGAGGTGTCCTCACATGGGCTTCCCAAAACTCTGGTGTCTGCTTGTTCTACAGAGGGCTGTTACGGCCCGTGGGAGTAACACAAGCTGGATGTAGGCCCTGTCCTCGGGGAGCTTCCATTCAAGCCAGGGAGAAGGCCGCTAGAGGGCCGAGAATTTAGACGATTTCAGATGGCAGTCAGTGCTGTGGAGAAAATGGTGTCACGATAAAAAGTATCTGAAGTAGTCTGGAAAGGCTTCTTAGAGAAGGTGGCATTTGTTTTTGTTTTACTTGCCCGAGGGCGGAGGGGGAGAAAGCACCCCGCATAGGGCGTGGTCACTCTGCACTCCCTTCTCCACTCCTCCACTCTGTCCAGTTTCTGGGCACACATGTATCTGTCCCCAAGTGTGTTTTTCAAGCCACTGGGGCTGGCATTCAAACTCGTCAACTGTGAGATCAGGCTCCCTTAACCTAGACCTAGACCGCGGGCCGGTCCAGAGGAAGTGGCATCTGAATGGAGACAGTGGTGGAAAGAGCCAGCCCTGCAGCTTGGGTCAGGTGGGCGGGGGTGTGAGCGGGGCTGAGCCCACAGGAAGGACAGAGTAGGGAGTCTTGCTCGGATGAGTAGGAGAGGTAGTTTCCGGTTTGAAGTGCGAGGGGACGTGTCTGGAATGAAGTAGGCCTTCAGTGAATACTTGCTGAATGAACAAACGAATGAGTGAGGGCTTAGGAGCAGGGAAATGACAAGATCTAACCCGCGTCTCCAGGCAGTGACAGGAATGCAGAGCTAAGACTGGAAGCAGAAAGAATGAGTCGGGCAAACTAAAATGACAGTCTGGCCCTCTCCGCCTCCTAGCCCTGAGAAGTCTTCCAGGTGTGGTCAGGGGCCCTGGGGCCTTTCTGAGTCAGGTTTAGAGGGAGCCTCCTGGTTAATCTGTGCCTCTGGTTGCCGGAAACAGCTGTGAAAACCTGTGGGTTCCTGTTCAGGCTGAAACCGGGTTTCTATGGTTCCTGAGCTTAGCTCTTGGCTAGACCGTCTTCCTGCTCCCTCTGGTTCTGCAGCAGATGAGCCCGTGTAGATTCCAGAGTGGGACTGGGAAAAGCCTGCCCTAGCCCCTCAGGGTGCCTGTGCTGTGACAGGTGACTTCCTCTCACCCAGCATGCCATGGGCGTCCCTCACACCAGAGGGTAAGGCCTGGCTGGGCCTGCTTTTACATTTGCATACGTCAGACACAGTCATCTGAAAGCTTGCCCTACGGCCTCAGCCCCCTGCTACCCCTCTGTCTCTCTGTGGGAGCGCCGTGTGCCGGGATCTTGGGTCCCGCTTTCCGAAACAACTATTTTGCTCAGCCACAGAACAGCAGTCTGGTCCGGTGATGGAGGTGGAAACTGGATTTAAAGGATCCCCGAGGTTCATTTTGATGGTCATGGTTTTCCTCCTTCACGCGAACTAAAACCACCCCATTCCCCCACTGCTTCAGTTCCTCCTCCCCACCTCCCTCTCACCTGAATCGCAGTCTGCAGTCATTTGAGAAAGTGGGGTGCAGAGTCAGAAATCGCTGTTCAATTCTGTTTACTTTTTGTTTTTAGATTTTTGTCATAGGACACGTGTGCTTGCCAGAGAGGCGAGAGACAGAGAGAGACAGAGAGAAGGAAAATAAGAAATCACCCCCCCAGGGAGGATGCCCATGCCACAATCCCTTCTCCCTTCTCTCGGGGTTTTGGGCATGCATGCACATATGTCCAGAATGATTTCCAAGCTGCCAGGGGGTTTTGGGCATGCATGCACATATGTCCAGAATGCCCAAGAAGCTGCCAGGTCCAGGGGTTCAGGGGTTCAGGACTCTAGTCGCAGTCGGCCATGTCGGAGTCCAGTGCCTTAACCACCACGCCACCTACTGGCCCCCCGTGTTTAATTCTGAAAGGCCACTGAGAAGTACAGAGCAAGTTAGCAGTCCCTGTTTGACTTTCAGATTGTGTATTTTTGCTTTAGAGTGCTCCGGGTCCTTTGACTTGACTTACCTGTTCTGTCATCATCCCGTCTAACTCCCCCCAGCCCTGTGAGCTGACAGGGCGTAGCAGCCCCACGGTAGCACTGAGGGAGGAGCCCAAGATGATGGCTAACTGAACAGTGACACTCAGACTTGAGCCCTGGTGGTTCGACTCCAGTTCCCTCCCGACCTGCTCCAGTATCGCAGGAAGGAAGTGGAAGTGGCATGGAGTTTGGCATTTGCTTCTCCTAGGTCGCGAGTGCTCGGCC